CGCCTCATTTACTTAGAATTTTCCTGAGTCTTCGGTGCTATCTCCGATTTCGCAAGAGTCATTTATTTACAGAAAGCGCGATTTGGAACCTGAAAAACAAGAAAAAGTTGCAAAAAATTGGAAAATTAGGCGAAAATAGGTGAAAATAGGAACAGTGATGAAGCTGTTTGAAGTTCATTGCTAAAGCGCAAGCAGCGTTATCACGGAGCGTTGTAGTAAAACTTGTGGTCTGCGTCTCCAGCTTTCACCTACTTACTCGCTAATTTCAGGCTAAAGCATATACAGTCGACCTTTCGGATTACAAAGAAATCAATCGTACAGCTGATCTTGTGAAAAAAGAAGTGGGAAAAGTAGATATTTTGATTAACAATGCTGGAATTGTTACTGGTGAGATTGGAAGGTGAAAACGAAAAGTTAGAAAATGCCCTTTAGGAAAAAAACTGCTTCAATGCCCTGATGAGCTTATGATCAAGACAATGGCTGTTAACACAAATGCACTTTTCTTTGTAAGAGAATAAGAGTAGAATATAATTGTAAACAATAGTTTTTAGACAACGAAAAACTTTTTGCCTGCTATGCTTGAACAGAACAAAGGGCATATTGTAACAATTGCTTCAATGGCCGGAAAGTGTGGAGTTGCTGGATTGGTGAGTTTTGATTCTGAGCCTTAGCTTTCTGGATGTCTTGCAATTCAGGTTGATTATTGTGCTTCTAAGCATGGTGCAGTTGGTTTCAATGACTCGTTGGCATCTGAACTTTACTCCCTAAAGAAGGATGTAAAGACTACTGTAGTCTGTCCTATCTATATCAACACTGGAATGTTCGATGGAGCACAAACCAGATGGCCTACTCTTCTCCCAATCATGGAACCAGAATTTGTTGTTGACTGTATTATGGAGGCAGTTCTCACTGATCGCGCATTTTTGGCTCTTCCCAAATTTAGTTACATTTTCATGGCTCTCGCTGGGTAAACATAGTTTATTGTTTCCAATTTATTTTTCTTATTTTCAGACTTCTACCTACAGAAGTCATCAGTTTGTACGGAGATCACTTTGGAATTACCCACTCAATGGATCATTTCAAAGGACGCCAATCGCGAAGAGCTTGAATTCTGAAACACTTAATTAAATTGATCTAATAAATATTTGATATAGACTTCATAAATACTAATACCGTAAAATCTGTATTAATATTGCGTCTCTATTTGAATTGCCCCTCTAATAGACTTGCACCCCTTGAGGGCACTTGAAAAATAGACTTGCAGCCTTTAATTGAATTGCCCCCGTAATACAATTGCATCGACAGCGGCTCCGCCGGGAGTACTGTACAATTTTTAGTCTGTGACACCGTGACGAACTATTGCACAGTTGTTTTTCGAATTTCTTTTTTTTAACTACCTACCTAATTTCTGGTTTATTTTTATTTTTCTTTGTTTTTAAACAATATTTTCCATTTACTGAAGCGAGCAAAACGAGCAATGAGTTCTGAAGAAGACCTAGAAGACGTGGAAAACGTGTTCGACGTGGAAAAATTGGATGACGTGGAACACGTGGAAGACGTGGATAACGTGGAGAAATCCAGAAGGCGTACAGTTATTGAAGACAAGACGAGCAGAACGAGAAATGGAAGAAATTCAGGAGATTTTGGGAGATATTGAAATTAAGGAAGACGATGGAGAAGTGAACCATGCCGAAGAAGAAGAAAATAACTCTGACAGTGACGCCTCGATTTTTTGATTTTTTAAAATATGCGATATTTTTTTGTTTTGTTCGATTTGTTACTTTTTTTATTGATTTTCATAATAAAACTGTTTTTTTTTTCAAAATTTTAACCTCAAATTGTAGTTTTAAAAATAGAATTGCAGCCTCTATTTGAATTGCCCCTCTAATAGAGTTTCACCCCTTGAGGTGACTTGAACAATAGACTTGCATGCAATATTAATACAGATTTTACGGTAAATGTACTTTTATTCTCAAAACTATCTTGAATTTTTTGAAGTGAGTTACAATATCCCAGATGAGCAGTCTCTGGTAATCGGTTTCTAACCAGATTCGGGAAATTTTCCATCCAGATTCGGGTAACGCGCATTTTCCAACCAGATTCGGAAACTTTATTTTCCGACCAGATCTAGTGATTTTCTAACCAGATCCGACAAAGCTAATTTTCCAACCAGATCTAGCCATTTCTGCTCCGGAATTTTCCCGAATCTGGTTGGAAAATTACTCGAATCTGGTTAGAAACCGATTACCAGAGAGTGGAATGTGTTGAACGGCTGACACATATAGTCAAGTGACAGTAATCCAACATCTCACACAGTAATTTTTCAGACATTTAATCCCTTTTGCATCAGAAAATTATGCAATCGGTTCATCAGAAAGTCATAAGTATCAATCGATTTTTAAAAGATAAAGATGTTTATTTTTTGAACAAAGGGGTTCACATATTTAGAAGAAACACAACAAACTCAATAAAGTTCAAGAAGTTTCAATTCAGGATTTTCTAAAGGGAAAATATCTACAACAAAGAATTCAATAATAGAGCACAGGATAGAACCCAAGAAAACAAAAACCCATCAGTGTAACTATGACATTTAGCGATCACTGCTGCCAGCTCACGCTATAGTTTTATCATCACATGGAAAACGCGCACGGACTCGAACTCGCATGTTGTGCGTGAACGAGAGCGCACCCAGTTGCGCCGTCAATGTCAACTTAGAAGAGTTGTGAGATAGCCTTTATAAAAGCGAGAGGGAAAGAGGGAGGGAAGGGGGGAAGTGTCGCCTGTGTGTAGTTCAGTGTGTAGAAGGGTGCGCTGTGGTATACCCGAGTAGTTTGATATTTTCATTGAACCGGTATTTAAGAGATTTAAAA